TGACGAGAGCGGACCTGAGATAAAGCAAGATTACCTGAACATGACAATCACTAAGAAACCTGCAATATGAACCCAAATTCTGAGGGAAAGCAGAAGGGTGCGCCGTGCGGGTTAGTTATGGCGGAGGGGAGCAAGCAGGCAGTGGTGACACTAATTGGTTGTTCAGCCTTTTTCAGACTCGAGCTGATAGACTTTTAAGTAGGGTGGATAGAGGAGTCGGAGACAGTGACGAGATTTCTATAGATATGGATGTGTCTCGGAGCCATCACGGGGGGGGAGGGGGAGGGAGAAGGGAAGTATCAGGGGAGAAAGCGCCAAGCCATTAGACTATATAGCACTTGGAAAGGGTTAGGATAAGGATTAGGTAAGTGCCCTGGGAGGGGGTAAGGAAGGGGAGATTTGTTAATCTTGTTAATCGTCAATGATCGTCATATATCACGGTCGAATTAGCAGATTAAAGTGGATTTGTCTGTTATAAACAGTGGGGCCAAGCTAATTAAGGTTTGGGATATTAAATATCTTAACTTATTGTCTCGATGGGTCAGTCCTCTCTCGTCTTGTTCCATATCTAATGATATGAACAGTGCGTACCACTCACTACAGTACAATACGTATTCGACTGTTGACCAATGATTCTGTACCCACCATTACCGTGAATGTTTTAACACATGTACACAACCACGATTCAGTACACCAGGGGGCAATTCTTGGCAGTGGAACGCGTTGAATTATCAAATATTTCCAATCCAACACTTGCATATTGCTACCGTGGCGGCTTGAGATTCGTGGAAATAAGAGTGGCAAGTGTCGTGGAGGCATCTTAGGGAGGGAGTAACTTAAGTTAGGGGGTCCAAGGGCCCCCCCCCCCTCCTTCCTCCTCCTTCTTCCTTGGCAAATTAGTAGACACGCCACACAATGCCCCCATTGTTGATGCTGGATCAATGGGAAGGGGTGGGGGGTGAATTGCAGGAATGATGAGCCTGCAAGGGGAGTGGTGGTAGCAGGAGGGGGTGGTGGGTGTGGTGGTAGCAGGAGGGAGTGGTGGGGTGTGGTGGTGGTAGCAGGAGGGGGTGGTGGGTGTGGTGGTAGCAGGAGGGGGTGGTGGGTGTGGTGGTGGGTGTGGTGGTGGTAGCAAGAGGGGGTGGTGGGTGTGGTGGTAGTTGAACGTGTGTGGGGGGGAGGGGGGATATATGATAGTGGTGGTGGTTAGTTTGGTATTGGTGGCAGCGGTTTTTCAGTCCAGATGGAAATTAATGGTTGCGACAAGCTGGGGTAGTTAGTAGTAGTTGCAATCATGGTGGTGATTAAAGCTTGGAAGATTGTAGTAGTAGTGACTACAGTATAGCAGTGCTGGTGGTGGCGAATGTTATGGTACTGGTGGTAGTAATAGTGGTGATGGTTATATAATGATGGTGATGTAGGCAGTGATACTGGTTATGGTTCATTGTTCGCGCACAAGTGGTTGTGGCAGGGATGATTGTGGTTGGGATGGTAGTGATGGCGATTGTGTGGGGTAGTGGGTATGATGGTTGCTTTGCTAACAACAATAGTAATAATAGTAGAGCTGGTATGGTCTTCAGTGTGTCCTAAAGCAGTAGGTCACCAAACACTGACCCCTGACCCCTGACCCCTGAAGGTGTTGGAGGGGTCACGAAATATTTTCTGGTGGGGGGAGGTGTCACAGAACCAAAATTCTGATTACACGTATATCTGAATGGTCGAGAATTAGAAAATGGTGAATATCCTGATTTTTTTCAGTGGATGTGGTACACAGGTCTTTTGAGTATTTGAAAAATAGGGCCGCAGGTCCACGATGGTTGGGAAGGAGTGACTTTGAACAAGAGTAGGGAATCTGCGGCTTTAAGACCACGCGCGGCCTTTAATGGTGCACGCGCGGCCTTTAATGGTGCACGCGCGGCCTTTAATGGTGCACGCGCGGCCTTTAATGGTGCACGCGCGGCCTTTAATGGTGCACGCGCGGCCTTTAATGGTGCACGCGCGGCCTTTAATGGTGCACGCGCGGCCTTTAATGGTGCACGCGAGGCCTTTAATGGTGCACGTGAGGCCTTTAATGGTGCACGTGAGGCCTTTAATGGTGCACGCGAGGCCTTTAATGGTGCACGCGCGGCCTTTAATGGTGCACGCGCGGCCTTTAATGGTGCTCGTGAGGCCTTTAATGGTGCACGTGAGGCCTTTGAACGCAATTTAAAATTGATTAGAAATACTACTAAAGCCTTGTATTGTTGCTATAATCCTAATTATAGGTGAATTATAATGCAAATAATCCTAATAGTAGGATTATTATTAGTAGGATTCTTCGTCCTCCTTTTCTTCATCTTCCTCCTCTTCTTCATCTTGTGTGAACATTTTCTCGGCCAAACATCTGCCATCTCCGTGCAAGTGTGTTCTGAAGTATTCAAACAACACTCCCAAATGAGTTCTGTGAGGATCTGATCATTATTCAATCTCAAATCTGACTGTTGCAAGTCAGATGCAACACTCACGTTTGTAGTAGCCAGGTGTTGTGCATATGTCGTAACTGGGTGTGTCGTAAGTGAATATGTCGTAATTGATTCTGTTGAACTAGATGTGTCTTGCGAGAAAAGGGGACAGAGAGGCAGAAAAAACAAGAATGAAGATGAAAGTTGAGAGGGTGAAGGAGAGGGATAGGGAAGTGGGAGTTAATGAAGAGGGCAGAAGAGAGAGGGAAGGGAGAGGAGACGGGGAAGAGGGGAGAGAGTGAGTGTGTGTGAAGCACGGTTCGTAACTTAAGTGGTTTGATGTATTGAGCGGTTGAGGTTGTCGACCTACGAGGTTCACAGTCGAAGCCCTGAGTTCGTCCTGGGGTCTGAGTATGGGAGCACGTAAGTGTCACACGGTGAATCAAAACTGAGTCAAACACATGTTTCGAACAGGGATAAGAACTGAGCCAAACATGTTTGAAATTGGACGTCAAAATTGAGCCATATAGGTCTAAAACAGGGAATCGAAAATTAGACGGACACACACACACACACACACACACACACACACACACACACACACACACACACACACACACACACACACACACACACACACACACACAGGCTTCAAGCAGGAAATCCAAACTGATCCAAACACAGAAACAGATTGGAAAAAAAATGAATGAAAATACAACTTAATAACAAGCATTATATATAGGCCACCAAACTTTTACAAAATGGAAGGATTACATACATTAGAAGCAATATCCAGGTCTATCAATGATTAAGTTACTGGGGGATTTAAAAATTTGAGTAGAATAAACTGGATTAATAAAAGCTAGAATACCGCTGCAGAAGGGAAGGGAACTAGGAAGGGGTCAGGATAAGGATTTGGGATGGGACGGGGCAAAAGTAATGGAGGGAAAGATATTTATGAGGAGAGAGTTAGTCCTAAGTCAGAATAACCAAATAGAATGCTCAGGTATGATATTCTTATCATATATTCTAAGTTGCGATTAAGTTCTCAGTAACTGTTTATTGACAATGAATAATATTTTTTTCAAATCTCTGTAATTATTATAGTTTCTCTAATTAAACTTCTATAAAATAATACCAATATACCTTCCGATAAGATACTAACTTCGTCTGTTTTAAAATTCTTGAAAATACATGCCTTCAAAAATCAACAAAAGTCTGTTTTATAACTAAAAAAAAAGCCTGTTAACACCAGATTGGTTGAAAATATACGTTATATAACCACTCATATTTGGCGATACTAACCCAACCGGTTGAGACACCCAAACTAAAATGAAGAATACAAACCCGTGACACATCTCCTCTTTTCTCTGACACCATCGTAAGCAGCTGACTGCTGACGGACGATCAGAAAAGATCGAAACATTGGTCGTAGTATTAAGTTTAAGACGAGTCAACCTCTGCAAGGTTAGTATTAGCTCATCGCAACACCTTGCTGATCAACCATCAAGAATACTGGCTTCAGCATATCCCAAACTTGATGTAAACTCTCCGTCTTATTTCCACGAATAGTGAATCGGTTTCCTGGAACTCTTTCCTGGAACTCTTTCCTGGAACGGTCTCCTGGAACGCTCTCCTGGAACTCGTGTTGCTTGGAACGTGTCTTAAATTAGGCGAGAGGAAGATGCAGTCAACTGAGGCTCTGTGAGAATGAAATTTAGAGCTGTGGATAAGATGCTCTAACTAGGGAGATGTGTTCCTTAGGGGACGGAGCAGGAGGAACGATGGGGTTACTGAAGGCCACGTGGTGGACTGAGTGGACAGGCAACCGTGTGGATAGTAGGATGTGTGGACAGAGTGGCTGCTTGGATAGAGCTTGGTGTGTATATATAGACCACTGCGTGGACAGAAGGATATGTTGCCAGAAGGGTGTGTATATATATATACAGATACGTGTAGACAGAAATGTGAATGTAAACAACAATGTGTATACGCGTGACTATACAACGATGAATGGAATCGTAAGGACAGAGCGATACATTGGACAGAAGGACGCAAGAGACAGAGCGATGCATGGACAGAAGGACGCAAGAGACAGAGCGATGCATGGACAGAAGGACGCGAGAGACAGAGCGATACATTGGACAGAAGGACGCGAGAGACAGAGCGATACATTAGACAGAAGGACGCGAGAGACAGAGCTATACATTGGACAGAAGGACGCGAGAGACAGAGCGATGCATGGACAGAAGGACGCGAGAGACAGAGCGATACATTGGACAGAAGGACGCGAGAGACAGAGCTATACATTGGACAGAAGCCTACATAAACAAAAGAAACGTGCGTGCAGCGGGCGACGACCGCTACGCGAGGTCCCACTTCAAGTTCGCGGGGTCCCGGGAACCACATCGTGGGAGGTGGGTACTCTTGCAGGAGTGTGTGTCGCCTGCGCGCCCGCCGGCACCTCCTAGAATCAAAGCCCCCTGTGTGTACGGCGACCAGCAGACGACAGTAGGCTTTTCCCGCCTCCTCCCCCTTATTTACGGGGGGAGACTCAAGCTTAGGTCCGGAAGACGGACCTGTGATCCTGCTCCTGTTGCTCAAGGGAGGTCCCTCACGCTCCCCCATACACCCCCAAAGAACTACAATGTTACCAACAAGAAAACATTTCCATGGATGTGAAAGAGACGATGACGTCACATTCCACAAGTGCAAAGAACCGACTGTTTTAACCTACTTTTCACTCGCTTTCTAGCACATAGAAACATTTTATACGTTTTATTTGAACTCAAACTTCCCGAAATGGGAAGTCGCATGGAGAATATGCCATCAGAGATGGACTAGTTAGGCGTTTTTAATTGTGGAAATGATGCTGGCTTGCATCCTAGGCAGCGCTCGGGAGCAGACTACTCAGAGCGTATGGATCGAAGGAAGAGGCTATGTGTGCGGAGGGTTGCTTGGCAACAGTGACGCTAAAGGTGTTCTTCTCCCTGGATTTACACGTCTCCACGGTCAACTACACGCTCGCCATGGCGGCCAACACACGTAAGTGCATGCCCAGTCATCAGTGACCTCGCAAGTGACGCTCCTAGAAGCAAAGCAACCTCGCATCAGCGACTAATTTAAAGACGAACCTCGATCGAGCGTTTCAGTGCCCCGACCTCTGTGCGCGCCTCTCTGTTTACCGTGCATGGCTCTGAGGTATTTGTTGGTGTGTGTTCGCTCCCTGAGGTAACGTGTGCATGTGTGCTGTGTAGTGGAGTCATCACAGCAGTGGGTACTGTCTTCACTGTTGTGACGGGCATTGTTCAGGTCGAGTGGGTGGTTCAGAATGTATGGAACTGTTTGGCAGTGTTTTTTTTTTTTTTATCTGATGCTCGAATGTTTTTTGGTTCTTGCTTGGTGGCTTTTCAAGGAAGGAATGTGTGTGTGTGTGTGTGTGTGTGTGTGTGTGTGTGTGTGTGTGTGTGTGTGTGTGTGTGTGTGTGTGTGTGTGTGTGTGTGTGTGGTCTGCAGGACCTGACATGCAGGAACCTTGAAAGATTCAGAACCTTCTAACTTTCGATTGGATTTGAATATTTGACACACAAGTATGTTTTTTCGCAATAAGTAACCCAATAAAATCTAAATGCGCTGATCGCCGTATCTATAATGAAGAGAGAATGTCTGTCTGTCTGTCTGTCTGTCTGTCTGTGTCTGTCTGTCTGTGTGTCTGTCTGTCTGTCTGTCTGTCTGTCTGTCTGTCTGTCTGTCTGTCTGTCTGTCTGTCTGTCTGTCTGTCTGTCTGTCTTTCTGTCTGTCTTTGTCCAGAATTGGACGAGATAGTATAAATTAGACGATTGCTGGTGCAGTGATAAGAGTACTGGTGCTGTTGATAGGGAAACACCTGGTGCACTAGGTTCGAATCCTCTGAGGGGGTCATAGTTATATATATATATATATATATATATATATATATATATATATATATATATTTATATATATATATATATATATATATATATATATATATATATATATATATATATATATATAATATTAGATGCATAGGTAGATACAGATACATGGAAGGATAGAAATATGAATAGATGGATGGATAGATTTTCAGATTGATCGATTAATAAGAAGACTGATGAATAGATATTCAAATGGATGGACAGATAGATGCACAGGTCGATGGATAGATGGACAGATGCATGAATAGATGGACAAATGGATAATAGACGGAGTAATATATGGATGAATTCGTACATTGATGAATAAATAGATGGATGGACGGAAAGGAGGATTGGTAGACGGATGGATAGATGGATGGAAAGATGCATGGATAGATGGATGGACAGATGGATGAATAGATGAATGAACAGATGGATGAATAAATATATGTATAAATAGGGAGATAGATGGACAGATAGAATGATACTTTATGATGGACAGATACTTTAAGATAGAATGTCTGTCTGTCTGTGTCTGTCAGTCTGTCCATCATCCAAAGTTGGAGACCAGATGCCTGAAGATGCCTTACCCAAATTTGCAGGGGGAATGGTCCTTGGTACGGGACGAACATAGGCTGGTCGGGGGTAGGCCTAACATTAACTATTTAAGAAATATTTGTAATTATTCACTCCCCCTCCCTCCCCCCTATCCATCCGATCTCACGGATTTAATTCTGATCAATTGGGGAATATTGCTTGAGATGTGGAAGATATTTTCGTATTCAGAAAATAATGATTTAAATAGGACCGGTGTGTTATTGCTCCCTAATATTGTATTTTGTGAAAGGGAAGAAGGGTTAAGTGGGTGGAAAGGGAAGGAAGGAAGGGGTGGGTGGGGGGCCTTGGGAAGAAAAAAGGGGAATGAAGGGCAGGGGTGAGGAAGCACGAGGAGAAGGCAGAGAGAAAGGGGAGTTGGGGTGAAAGACGTAATGTTGGGAGGGGGCAAGGTGAGAAGGGATGATAAGGGGGAGTGTAATAAAGGGGGACTATACAAAGGGGGTAAAGGGTGGACAGTGAACAAGAGGTGAGGACATATATTCACACTCATTTTGTAACGATTGTTTGGGTTTTCAGACAGTTTACAACTGTCACTTGAGAGATAAGGTTCGGGCTCGCCATAGCCCGTGCTACTTGGAACTTTATGTTCTGAGTAGCTGAATCTAAAACAACAACAACAGAGGGATAAGGTCGCAGGAGATCTTCGTTGAACCGGTTCAAGTCGATTCATCCATTACTAATATTTATTTTCTGTGGCTTTGTAATTTGTATTAAGCAGATTTGACAGAAAATTTCAACCAAATTGCCTTCAAACAAATGTTGTAAAAGGCTGCAGTACGATGATATCCACATGGATGAATAAATGAAATGCGCAGCTCCGGGAGTGTGTCAAATACTTAACAATAGTAGATGAATAAATTAACCCTTAACCCGTGGATTAAGTGTTAATCCTTTTTGTGTAATGCAATTTTAAAATAAAGTCGATATATATATATATATATATATATATATATATATATATATATATATATATATATATATATTGGTGTATACTGGCAGCAGGTTTTCTTTCAAACATGTTTCATTGAATATGACCGCATATTCTGTATTTATTATTTTCTGGTTTAGGGCTTCTATCCCTCTAACTATTTTCTTAGCATCAGGGCTTAATTGAAATAGGAGTTCTCCAAAAGTCATTTTCGTACTTTTAAGGTGAAGAAAAGAAGTGATTTACTATAGAGTGTATTACACTTATTTGTATAATTTGCACGACGTTTCGAACCTCCATGGTTCATTCTCAAGTGAACAGATCTTACAATACTAGTTGATTTTATACCCGCATTAGGTCAGGTGATAATACAATGAAGGTGAAAACATGGGGGGATACATAAGGGATAAATATATATATATATATATATATATATATATATATATATATATATATATATATATATATATATATATATATATATATTTCTCCACTCGTTTGTAGCATGAAGTAGTTGCGTTTTGTTGTCTTTGATTTCATTCTCTGCCTTGTATATCTGATCACGAATCAGATCCTGGCGATATTTTATCGTGAAGGCTTGATTCCTTGCTGCTGGGTCGTGCACTTTAACATTAGTATATTTTGGTAGCAGTCTTTCCTGTAGACATATATTATTAAATATGACCGAAAAAGTAAGATTAATAATTCTAACACGAATTTTCTCAATCTTTCGTACATTACGCTTCACTGTTGGAGGTAAATCAAAAATCACTTCTCCAAAATTCATTTTTATTTCTAGTCTGACGCGACACGGGCGCGTTTCGTAAAACTTATTACATTTTCAAAGACTTCACAAATACACAACTGATTAGAACTTGCGTTTCCCTGATTTTATATCTACATTTGAGTGAGGTGGGAAGGGTGATGTGGCATTAACACAAGACAGAACACTAGGGGATATTAATAGGGTATTAAAAGTATCAACACAAGACAGAACAGAAACAATGGGTATTGAATAGAAGTGTTTGTAGAAAGCCTATTGGTCCATATTTCTTGATGCTTCTATATTGGAGCGGAGTCTTGAGGTGGGTAGAATATAGTTGTGCAATAATTGGCTGTTGATTGCTGGTGTTGACTTCTTGATGTGTAGTGCCTCGCAAACGTCAAGCCGCCTGCTATCGCTGTATCTATCGATGATTTCTGTGTTGTTTACTAGGATTTCTCTGGCGATGGTTTGGTTGTGGGAAGAGATTATATGTTCCTTAATGGAGCCCTGTTGCTTATGCATCGTTAAATGCCTAGAAAGAGATGTTGTTGTCTTGCCTATATACTGTTTTTTTTGGAGCTTACAGTCCCCAAGAGGGCATTTGAAGGCATAGACGACGTTGGTCTCTTTTAAAGCGTTCTGCTTTGTGTCTGGAGAGTTTCTCATGAGTAGGCTGGCCATTTTTCTGGTTTTATAGTAAATCGTCAGTTGTATCCTCTGATTTTTGTCTGTAGGGATAACGTTTCTATTAACAATATCTTTCAGGACCCTTTCCTCCGTTTTATGAGCTGTGGAAAAGAAGTTCCTGTAAAATAGTCTAATAGGGGGTATAGGTGTTGTGTTAGTTGTCTCTTCAGAGGTTGCATGGCGTTTCACTTTCCTTCTTATGATGTCTTCGACGAAACCATTGGAGAAGCCGTTGTTGACTAGGACCTGCCTTACCCTACAGAGTTCTTCGTCGACTTGCTTCCATTCTGAGCTGTGGCTGAGAGCACGGTCGACATATGCGACCCATGGGATACGAGGACAAGCTCCTTGTCCTCGTATCCCAACTTCTTGTCCTCGTATCACAGCTCCTTGTCCTCGTATTCTAGCTCCTTGTCCTCTTTTCCCATGTCCCTATCCTCATGTCCCAGCTCCCTGTCCTCATATCCCACTCCCTGTCCTCATATCCCAGCTCCCTGTCCTCATATCCCAGCTTCTTGTCCTCATATGCCAGCTCCTTGTTCTCATATCCCAACTCCTTGTCCTCTTTTCCCAGCCCCATACCCCAGTTCCTTGTCCTCATACCCCCAGTTCCTTATCCTCATACCCCCAGTTCCTTATCCTCATACCCCCAGTTCCTTGTCCTCATACCCCCAGTTCCTTGTCCTCATATCCCAGTTCCTTGTCCTCATACCCCAGTTCCTTGTCCTCATACCCCCAGTTCCTTGTCCTCATACCCCCAGTTCCTTGTCCTCATACCCCCAGTTCCTTGTCCTCATTTCCTTTCTAGGTGCTATATAGTCATTCTGGCTTAGCTCTCTCTCCTCACCTCACCTTTCCTAAGCAGACACGAACTCAAGCTGGATCCAACATTAAATTTTGAGCTATATAAACAGCTCGACATCTCTGTGCAATGCCCTCTTGCCTTTAGAGTGACGAGGTTAACCTTTTATGCCGGCGCCCACACCAGTCATTTGCATTGTGGTTTCCCTGGGAACTTACTCTGTGGGTCGCTGGCTAGTGTTTTGACCCCATATTTTGGGTTGAGGTTAATTCGTTAATCGTCGTTTTTTTCATATAATTTAAGATCGAT